ACACAGCCATTACGCCAACTGCTGGTCCCCCCCACCCCCCAGCACATTTCAATCAGGCGCTAATTAGTTTGTGGTGTCTTTATTCACACTCCCGGCTCCCCCGGGCTGCTCCCCCAGGGCCTCTGGTCCTGAGCTGTCCAGGGCCAGCGGAAGTGGCTCTTCCCACAGGGCAGGGTGGCTCGAAGCCTTCTGCCTAGAAATGGCGCTCGGAATGTGGAAGGCCACACGCAGCCTGCTGACACGTGCACACACACGAGTGCAAATTCACACCGACCCATGTGTACGGGCACACTCCATGCACAGCACATGTCACCACACGTGCACATTGCACCTGTGGGTGCATGTGTGCACATGAAACATACAGAACTGTACACAATACACCCCCAGCCTATGTCCTATGCACATGGCACATGTATATATGTGCAAATGTGCACACAAGCATACTGTGCACACACATGCAATGACCATAGTGCCAAACACACACACACATGTCCAGATCATGCACACACACACACACATCCATGTGCTCACACACACAGGCATCTATGTGCTCACACACATCTGCACTCTCACACACATCCACATGCTCATACACATACACATCTACCTGCTCACACACACATTTGCATATTCACACACACAACTACACGCTCACACAGATTCATCTATGTGCTCATACACACAGCTATATGCTCACAAACACACATCTACATTGTCACACACATGCAGCTATGTGCTCACACACACATCCATGTGTTCTCACACACAGATCTATATGCTCACACACATATATACAACTACATACTCACACATGTACATATATCCCTGTGTTCATAACATACACACATCTACCTGTTCACGTACACACATGCATCTATGTGTTCACACACACATGGGTCTATGTGATCCCACACATAAACATATACACGGTCTCACACACATCTACATGATCACACATCTACACGCTCCCATATCTACACGCTCTCACATCTACGCGCTCTCACATCTACACACACATCTACACGCTCTCACATCTATGTGCTCTCACGTCTACGCGCTCTCACATCTACACGCTCCCATATCTACACGCTCTCACATCTACGCCCTCTCACATCTATGTGCTCTCACATCTACATGGTCTCACATCTACACGCTCTCACGTCTACGCGCTCTCACATCTACGCACTCTCACATCTACGTGCTCTCACATCTACACACTCTCACATCTACGCACTCTCACATCTACGCGTTCTCACATCTACACGCTCTCACGCACACACGCCTACATGCTCATGCCGTCTCCCTCCAGCTCAGAGCAGAGTGCCCGTTTCCGGTGGTAGAGGAGACAGCCCCTGCCCAGCAGTTGGGGAGGCCTGCAGGAGCCCGCGGACCCTTCTGCATGGCTGCCCTCTGCCCCCTGTGTGTCTCTGCCCTGGAAGGACTGGCTGCTCTGCAGGGTCCTGGAGGTTCAGCTGGGGGAGGAGGCCACGGGGAGCCCTGTGTGGGCGGTGTCCCGGGCAGGATCCCTAGGGAGAGCCACAGTTGATTTAGTTGGCCCGTCTAGTGGGGTCTGCTTGGCCCCAGGGACAAGGGTGGGTGTGAGAGACCAGGTGTCACCGCTGCAGGCTGACAGCGTTGGCCCCACGTTGCTGGGAGCCTCTTTACATTGGACAAAATCCCTAATGGTGCCCAAGCTAGGCATGAGTCGCCACCCACCAGCGAGGAGGGCATAGCGGCCATCTGTTGCCCCCTGGAGTGCCTGTGCCCGGCAGGCCCGTGCTGTGGGCAGGGCCCTGGGCCAGCATGAAGGGCAGGAACGGGCCGGAGTACACACTGAGGAGGGGCCCAGAGTGCAGGTGCAGCCAGTGCCGCCGAGGAGGGGCCTTCCCGCATCTCCCGGCAGGTGGTGCCTGTGGCTGCGTGGCGCCCATCTCCGCCTCGTCTTCACATGGCCTCCATCCTGCGTGCGCCCGGCCTCTGTGTCTGAATCGCCCTCTCCTTCGGACGCTGGCTGCTCGTCCTGGGCTCCCAAATGCAGCAGGTCACCCTTACCACCTCCGCAGAGGCCTGTCCACATTAGGGCACGCTCACAGGTCCCAGCGGGCATGGCGTCGGGGCTCCCCACTGTGCCCACTCCTCCCTGCTGGTCCTCCAGGGATGACGCTGCACCTCACCAGCCTACGTGGCTCTCCTGCCCTTGGGAAGGGTCTGTGCTCACGCCGAAGGGCTGAGGGTGGCCTGCTTCTGAAGGCCCCGCCACCTTGCACCTCTCCTGGGCCTGATGGTGGGGAGCCCCTGAGGGCCCCCACTGTCTCTGCTCCCGGAGCAAGCTGTGTAATCCCCTTCCCTGCAGGTCAGACCCCACACTGTGATGATGCACCCATTGTGACCGAGGTAGGGACAGCCGGTTCCTGGCCCTCGCCCTGTCCCTCCCCCCTACCTCTCCTCTCTTCCTCCCCATTCCCCCATTCCTTCCTCCCTCCAGCCCCCGCTCAAGGGAGGCCAGCCGGAGCATTGTAAGCACAACCCTGAATAGGCCCCAGTCCAAAGACCCGGGGGACCCCGGTGCCACACGGCGAACAAAGCCCTGAACCCAACGAGGAGCTGGGCTCAGAGGGAACCTGTCCAGCCAAGCCTCAGCTGACACCACAGCCTGGCCTCCCGGGAGACCCGGCCAAGGCTGCAGCTGAGCCAGCCTGGATCGAGTCAGTAGAAACTGCTGGCATGGAGCCAGCAGGTGGCGTGGTGGTTAGGGCACTGGACTCCCACGTGGGCGACTGCGGTTTGAGTCCCAGACCTGGTGGCAAGCTTTCTCACTCTCGCTGGTGAGTGTATGTACCCTATAGCAAAATTAAAATAGTAATAAATAAAATTTTAAAAATGACTCTGAATAAGAAAGAAAAATAAACTGATAAGTGTCAGTTGCTAGAAGCTGGCAGTCCTCCCCCAGATGGCTTCCCAGATGGCCCTCCGCACCTCCCCCACCTGCCCCAACTGCTCTGAGTCAAATGCCGAGGCTCAGACCATGGACCAGAACGTGGCCCTGAGGGTGGGGTGTGCGCAGCGTCACTGGGGCTCATTTCTCGAGGGGGTGCCCTCCCTGATTCCCACTCAGCACAGGCACCTGGGTAGACATGGCCACGTGAAGCCTGGTGGACTTCCTGGAGCTGCCCTCTCCCCACAGACCCAGCCGGAGTGCCGCACGGCCAGCGAGCAGGGTGGCCGGCCCTGGTGGCCATGTCTGCAGGGCTCCTGTCCTGCGCCTAGTAACACCCCCTCCGCCAGGACGCCTTCTGGGCTGGTGGGGGCTCCCCACCTGCATTCTGAGACCACTGTGGTCTCGGCCGTGGCAGTGGGGGACGGCACCGCCTAGCATGGGGCGAGGGACTGAGCCCCAGTGTGGTTAAGGGGCTTGTCTCCAGGCACCTGAGTCGTAAGGAGCTGGAATTCGTGTTCTGACAAGGTGACACCAGAAGCATAACCCATTACAAAAAGATAAATTGGGAACCAGCAGGTGGCATATGGGTTAAGTCACTGGACTCCCACGCAGTTGACCGTGGTTTGAGTCCTGGACCTGGCAACTTAAAATTCATACTGGGTGCACGTATGTGTGCGCGCTCAAAATCCCGAGAGGAGGATGGAGGGATTGTAGCATGGCCATTTCCCCTGGGGGGTGACTTCTCCCCTTCTGTCTCTCTGTCTCTCTGGAGAGCACACATGCCCATAGCAAAAATTTCTCTAAAAAAAAGGTAAATTGTACTTCATAAAAAAAAAAATTTTAGAGGTTTTTGCCTTAGGGCTTGTGTGCTTGCTAGAGAGAGACAGAGACAGTGAGAGGGAATGTGAGGAATCACCCTCTGGGGAGATGGCCGTGCCTCCATTCCCTTCTCCGTTCTCCTGTGGGATCTTGGGCTCACACGCACACGCGCGTGGTGTGAGTTTCAGTCACCAGGACAAGGACGAGCTACGGTCGGCCCTGTGGGAGCCAGTGACGGGGCCACTGCGCCATCTGCTGGTCGCTTCATCCAAACTTAGAACTCGCCATTCAAGAGTCACCGCCATGGGCCCAGCGGGTGTATTGGTTGGTGCTGGACTCCCACACAGTTGACTGTGGTTCGAGTCCCAGACCCACTGGCTTAAACACACTGGGCACATGTGTGTGCGTGTCTGAACTCCTGAGAGAAGAGTGGAGGAGAAGGGATGTGGCGAGGCCATCCCCTGGGAGGTGAGTTCTCGCTGTCTGGCTCCTGGTGTGTACACGCTATTACAAACATCTCTCTATTAAAAGAGAAAAGAATCTCCACCATGAGAGTGAAGAAGAGACTCGCCTTCGGGGAGTGCTGTGAGCCTCACGGTCAGCGCGCGTCCAGAGCCCAGGGGACCCAGTGCAGCTGCCGTCCATCAGCGGTGGGCGTTGGGTCGCCACCACGCTGCGCCTGGCCCGGTACAGCGCTGTGACAGCACGTGCAAGCTCTCGTGGGGGCGTGTTTGTTACCTCGACGTAGACCGAGGACGGGACTTGAAGGATCGGTCACTCAATGCTGACCCCCCTGGGGAACGCTGCACCTGTCACATTGTCACGAGCGACAGACGAGGGACTGTCCTCCCAGAGCCGTGGTGACAGTGGCAGGATCAACTCCCTTGACTTACGCGTGCTGCCGGGTGTGGCAACCCCGCCGTGGTCCGGCTGGCAGTTCCCTGGGGCTTGTTGGGGCTCATGGCCCCCGTTCTTCATGGCTGAGGTGGGGTCCTCAGTCTTCCTGTGACAGCTGTCGGTGGCCTTTGTGTGTCCGGGCCCATGCTGGCACGGCCGTGCTGTCCGGGCTGTGCTGGGGAGGCCTGTGACTTCTGGATGCCGACCCCTGCCTTCCTGGGACGAGCCTCCTGGGCTGGGTGGGGGAAGCCCAGGGAGCCACCAGGGGCAGTGGGAACATCGTGCAGGGCCCCAGAAGGCCACGTCCACGGACAGATGCCCACTTGGCAGGTGGGCCGGGAGGATGCAGGGCCAGGTGGCCTCCAGGCACACTCCTGTTTGTGTGACATTCACGGTGACACGGTTGCAAGGGTGGTACAGAGTGTCCTGTGTTCAGATAATCCTGGCAGGCGGGGGGGGCTCAAGGAGAAGGAAGAGGCGGAACGCAAACACCTGCGACCTTTCCCTGGGGCGGCCTGGGCGGCCAGCACGGGGAGCTGGGCCAGGGAGCTCGGCCAAGCCCAGGCCTGCAAGGCCGAGCGGCCAGGAGGCGGGAGGGGCCGGGACCTGTCTGGATGACCGCTGCCATTACCTGGGACCGGGCGTCAGGGCCCCTCTGTCCCAGGAAGGCCTCAGAACAGACTCAGGCCACGGGAGTGACCTGGTGAGCTCGGGAGCCGCTGGGCCCACGTGGAAGTAGAGGCTCCAGGAACACAGGGTCGCGGAGACCTCGGAGGCCCGCACCCAGGACAGGCCCGGCTGCTGCCCTGAGCCCGACCTGGCCTTTTGCTCTGTCCACATGTCCAGCGGGCTCCCTCGGCGGCGAGGGGGACCACGTGTCCCATGTCCCCGCACCCAGCAAGCCCTGCTCGAGGACGGGAGCGCACTCGCCTAGGCCGTGAGAGTGCTGGGATGGAGGGCTGGGACTGCTTTTCTTGAGTTTTGTGATAACTGCACGTCACTAACGGGGCAGGGGCGCCAGGAGCAAGCAGGGGCGGCCCCAGGAGGTCAGGGCTCGCTTTTCCAAACACCCTCTTCCGTGCAGTGTATTCTGGGCGGGAGATCACATTTTGTACGCGGTGGTGATGCTCAGTGAATGAATGTAAACTAGATCATTAAACAAACAAAACCCCACCTAGTTCCTGGAGACAGGGAACAGGCCGCTCGCCCCAAAATCAGGTTCTTCTGCCCCTGCCTTTGTCACGGGGGCGGGAGAAAGGCTTGTGGCCCCTGTGCCCCGGATGCCAGTGGCCTGGCCAGCTCCTCCCTCTGCAGCCAGGTGGGCTGCAGCTGGCGGGGGCGGGCAGGGCTCCAGCCACGGCCCCTCCTCGGGTCCCCTTACCCCACTGCTGCCTGCTGCTTGGCTTTGGGCATCTGCTTTGTGAGCTCCAACAGAAAATCGACAGCGACACACAAAAGTGGCAAAAGTCCAGGCGGAAGGACACACAGGACTCCGTGCCCCCTCCTGCCCCTGAGACACGGCGTGCGGACACGGCATGTGAACATGGCCGATCACTGGCCTTGACTAGTCCGACACGCTGAGCACCGCAGAGGGCGGCAGACCCCGGGCACGCAAGCGCCTAGGGAGTGTGGACATTTGTGTGGGTTTGTGCTTCACTTTTTTTTTTTTTTGTCTTTTTAGCTCTTTTGCGCTCAAGTGTATTCCCTTGCTGGAGAGAGACCCGGAGAGGAGAAGTGAGAAGTCACTACCCGGGGGGATGCCCATGCCCACAATCCCCTCCACGCCCCTTTCGAGATGTCAGGCACGCTCGCACACGTGTCTGCTGTATTTTTCAAGTTGCCGGGTCTGGGACTCAGACCGCACAGCTGGTCATGCGGGAGCTAGTGCTTAATCACCACCCTGTCTGGCTGGCCCTGCTTCAGGCAACGCGAAGAGGAGCTTACAGGTGTAATTGGGGGTAGGTAGATTTTGTGGGGCTTCAAACATGTAAAATTTGGGGTCTCTTAAAGAGAAATAAAAATGATAAATCCAAGTTAGATATAAAAATAGTTATTTGGAGAGAGAAAAAGTATCCCCAACACAGTTTTAAAGTCTGATAATTATGGGGCCAGCAGGAGGCATAGTGGTTAAAGCATTGGACTCCCACATGGCCGACCGAGGTCGAGTCCCCGACCCAGAGGCTTGAAACTCACACCAGGTGTGAGTGCATGCGTGCCCAAAATCCTGAGAGGAGAGAGGAGGAGAAGGGGCTGAGGCATGGCTATCCCCCGGGAGTGATTTCTGTCTCTCTCTCTCTCTTTCTCTGTGTCTCTGGTGAATGCACGCACCCTATGGCAAAAATCCCCTATAAAGCTGCTAACGCTGAGACGCACGCTGGACAGTGTGGGGACCTGGCGTTCGAGGAGCTCACAGGCGCCCACTTAGAACTCCCGTGCCTCCGACGGCCGCTCTCACTCCCCATTAGGAGAGAGGCACTTCTCCCTGGCTCCCGGCTGGGCTCCAGCCCGTGTACAGCACCGGTCCTCGGCTGCGTGTGCTCGGTGCGTGTGCGGGCACCACTGCGGGCTTTTGGCTCGTAAACCATGAAGACGGCCAACTCAGCTTGGTGTGATTGCCCCAAAAAGTACCCGCCCCGCGGAACCACCAGCCGCAGCGTGCGCTCCTGCCGGCGCCGGCCAGAGCCCCACTGTCCCCTGGCGTCCTGCGTTGAGTGGAGTCCCGCTGGCGCTCCTCCCACCGTCCTGCGGATAGACCGGCTAGCGGTGTGGCGCCGCTGCTGTGCTCTGGGGCCCTGTCCGCTTCGCTTCCCGTTTTTCACGGTGCCTCAAAGGGCCCCGCCACGCCGTGGCGCGCCAGGCTCAGCCAACAGAACAGCGGGGCCCGGCGTGCGCCTGGCGTGTGGCGTGCGCCTGGCGTGTGCCACACGCCGGATCGCAGGGAACCCGCCGCCCAGGCCTCCCACGTGCCTCTGCTCGCTGAGCAGCCGTGGCCGCGTGCACTGTGGGCTCCGGCTCTCGTGTTCCGGGGCAGAAGGCCAAACCCGTGCTGTTACCTTGGTTGGTGACTTAGCTGCTTCAATGTCGGCTCCTTCCCGCTCACGGATGCTTTTTGCCTTAAATTATGTTTTGGTCTAATTGGTTTTTAAATTTTGCGCCTAAGCGTGTTTCTCATATCCGCCCCTCCATCCTCGCCCACACTGCGCTGTGCTCACAGGTGGGCCCTGGCCTGTGCGCACTCGTGGGCCGGCTCTACGGTGCGCACCCACTCTTCATGTCCGCCGGCCCGGCCAGCGGCGCGGTAG